CCCCCACTTTTTAAAATTTTGTAAATGCATCCTCTCACGTTCAAAAATTTTCTGAATACACCCTTAACTTTTGAAAAAAATTTTCTTGCCCCCCCCCCCCCCACTTTTTTCTCTTCGCCACATCCCTGAGTAGATCAAAGTGAAATCTTGAACAATTTTCAAAAGTTAATATAGAACTGATTCAAGTAGCTCACATTTAAATAAATATACACTAGATATCAAATAAGTCGATCGACATAATTCTACTCAACATAATCTTATCATAATTCCGAATTTGTGATACTTCTTTTTCAATTTTTCTTTCTTTCTTTTGGTACAAAATCGTTGTTTATTACTTTCAGGTCATGAGGAAAAAAAAAACTTCTTATAAAATCTTCCTCATAACTATGGCTGGAGTTATGAAAATTTAGGATAATATTCACCTCGTTACGATAGATGAAATGCTCAACTTTGAGCATTTTTGGATTTGTATGTAATAAGGGACAAAAAAGTTATTTTTAGAAAATTGACCAAAACTTTGTGGACTCACCCTTTAGATAAATTTTATATTATTAAAAAAACAGAAAAAAATTTTTCTTTTGTTTTTTACAGTCAACAAATAGATTGTATGATTGAAACATTTTAAAAATATTCGAATTAAAAAAAAATCGATTTATGTTATCTATTATTATTATTTTTATTTTTTACTGCTTAATAAACTCTGTTATATCAATAGCTAATAATCAAACTAAGATCAATAATCAATTAAGTATTGATGCAAATTATAGAGAAAACTATACAATTATATTATTATATAATATAACAACAAATTATTCTTATTTTATTACATTTCGTTCATTTGGATATGAACAATTAAAATTTGGTTTATTTTTATCGACAAATAAATCTGAAGAAAATTCTATTGAAATATTTTATCAATATCATACAACAGAATTATTTTATTTATTTATTATTTGTTTTCATTTTATTCTTCAATTGAATGATCTTGATATTCAATGTAAAGATTTACATGTATTTAAAGATGAACAAATTAAATCGAATTTATCACAAGATTTTCTTCCATCATACAATCCATTATTTGTACCAATGATGTATGCATTAAGTATTTTAATGCTTTTACCTGTTATTATTCAACATCATCGTCATAAAAAAGCTCAATTATTACAAAGACAAAAAGAATTAAGACGTCTCTCAATCACAATAGCACAAGATAATGAAAATCCGCAACAAAATTTAGCTAAAAATATATTATCAAAAATTGTAGAAAATGGAAATATTAGTTATGAAAATCTTCCAATAGATATTGAACTTATTTCATTACCATCAACAAAAACAATGCTTGATGATATAGATGATAATGTTACTTCGACATTTACATTACGAACTCTTAAACCATTTATACATAAATATGATGATAATGATATCGATAAACAATCTGATGTTAATGCTAATGATTGTATTGCACATCTTTTAGATAATACACCATGGAATACACCACATATTGACGAACCGCTTGCTACTAGTTCATCTCGACATCCAGTTGTTCGTGATTGTGCTATAGCAATAAAAGAACAATATGTTCCAACTACAATTTCATTTCATAATGATAATGATAATAATCGAATAGTTACTATAGAATCTAATAAACATTCTACAATAAATTTACAAATGATAAATCGAGTATTTTTTGAATCAGACGTATAATATATGATATTTTCAGTCGATTATTTTTTTCATGTCAATGTGTATACATATGAGTACATTTGATGATAAAAAAAAATATCAACGTAAGAAACATTTTTAATTATACAAGTCCATTATTGAAAAATACGACATGTTTTTGTGCTTTACTTTACTGTCTAAATAACTTTAAAAAAAGAGTTAATGTAGCTTCTTTTCTCAGCTATATTGCGCTTGTTGTATTTGTTTTTACATTTTATATATTATCGACTAGTTCACTTAAATAGCTGTGAGTTATTTATAAATAAAATTTTTAAAAAATTGCTTATTTCTTTTAGCAGTATTTCACTAATTTATTACATATGACTATAATTAACACATTGCTATTAAATACGTGATGATGATTTTTTATCAGAACAATCTCATTTTCATCATCAATTTTTTTTGTCTAATGTCATATATAGGATATTTTCATAAGTTCTTAACATCGATGAAAATTAATTTATATTGCTATCTTCAAGAAGTCAAATGAAACGTTTTATGTGTAGTTTATTAGCATGAATAATTACGAAAAATACAACAAAATTAAAAATAAAACATTGGCGACTATATAAAAGGAGAAAGTAAGCAGATTTAGAGTTTAAAAAAAGGAAGCAAACTACTAGATAATATTCTTTGAGTTTGATGGCAGTTGATGGTATCGTTCCATTTAAGGATGTGAAATTGCACTTATACCATATGTCTTACAAAAAATCAAAGCTATTAATGCAATCCCTGCGGGATTAAAATGATACATTTCTTCGGCCTCCTTTTAATTCTTCGGAAACGTAAGAAGGAATTAACTCATATATTATAACGAGACGTTTTTGTATATACAGTCCATGATCATATATCAGCAATGTCTGTCACGGTAGATAAGGTCTCTGGCTAGTGTCTATCATGCACCGTAGAGGGGAGAGGGGCAAAAATGAGGTCAGAATTGTTTCCCTATTCTTCAAAAATTATTTTAGATCGTATTTCACAAAAGTATTAAATTAATTCACGATCATAAGATACTGCACATGATAATAAACTCATGGAGAAAAATATGAATGATGATTTAGATTGCCAAGGCATTCTCTCAATGAATTATCATCAACAGTCCATATCGTGTGAGTGTCGGTTTTGTTGAAGAGAAGACTCGCGCCCACATCCAAACTCGCATCTATACCCGCCACCTACATCCACACGCGTTACGCAAGACCAATACGGCAGTTCAATTTTGAAAGAAGTTATCATTATCGAAAAGTATGATAAATTGACAATGTTTTCTTGAAATAACACTACGAGGTTCTAGATTTTAGATTTTACGCCACAGGCCGAATCGAACCACCAATGTGGAAATGGGAAAAGTTTTCAAAAGCATGTTCAATAACTGTTGTCTAGTATTTGTTCGAATACATAACAATGCTTATTTAATCCTTGTATTCAGGGTGTGGGTGTCAATGTATTCGAAGATATTACCCATACTCAATAGGACGCACGCGTATATGTTAGAAAAAGGTAAATGGATAGTTGTAGCAAACGTAGATGTGCACAGAAGATGTTTGATAAGGAAAGAGAAACAAAATGCAAGCATTTTTGTGCAATCAATGGAGGCGAACGAATAAGGCAGGGCTAAGGAGAAACTCTGAGTTGACTGAAAGTAAAATATATTACTGGAGCTATGTTGGTGTGAGATATAGATGAGTGTGGGTATCGTTGTAGCTATGGTCGTAGGTACGCGTGAGTGCAGATGTGGGCATGACATGGGTGCGAACTCTGAGTCTTCTTGACACTTTCACCTCAATCCACCTAGCCAAGTTCATACACGCACATGCAGAAAACCATACCATACCCACATACTCACACTCATGCCTCCATTCAGAAAAAGGACATAAAATGTTGATCCCTATGCCTCTTCGATAAAGAGGTCCTGAAGAAAATACTTTTTTTTATCAGTTGATAGAAAATTTTCTCCTCTATCGAACAATTTATGATTTATATTTGTTAGACATTCATAAATGCAACGAGATAAGAAAAAATGACTAGCGACATAAATTCGTAATATTTAAATGAACTCGTCAAAAACACCTTATAAAATGACAGTTAATAATAACTAACTTTCGTCTACAAGATGTTTTTGATGAATTGATATACAAATTACATACCTATTACCCGAGTGTTTCTCTGTTTTTTTTTCTTGCCGTATTTCATTTACGAATGTCTGACCAATATAAATCATACAGTGATCGATAGAGGGAAAAATTTTCTAACAACTGATAAAATATATTCTTTTCAGAACCTATCTATGTATCGAAGAGATATAAAAATTGACAGTTTGTGCGATTCTCTTATGTAAAAAGTGCAGATTCTTTTTAGAGGTGCTTCTCTTTTCTATTGCATTGTTTCATTTATGAATGTGTTATAAAAATAAGTTATTAGCGATTTGAAAGTGGAAAAATTCTCTATCTTCTGATAAAAAGTTTTCGTTCAATACCTTTCTATAGAGGAGAAATAGACTCCAACATTTGTCCCACTACTTTTGCAACATATGTTATGTGAGTTCCATATTTCAGCCACAAAGGGGCTGTGCTAACAAGCTTTTTTTAAAAGAATACCGTTTGTAGAACAAAAGAAAGTGTTTAAAGCAACTTTTCATCACCAACAAGATATTCGGTGACAAAAAATGAGTGAAACACAGTCGAACTTGAGCTATAAGAAAAAAAAAGATAAGATGATCACCTGTTTTTCTTTGAATTGAATCCTTTCATGATTCTGATGCTGGAAAGAAAAACATCATTCTCGAATATTCAGTAAACAAAAAAACGAAAAATCAGAATAGTCATACTATAAATAAAACATTTTAAAAATGAGAATAGTTATAATTGTATTGTCTCAAGCATAAGCTGCATTTCTTTGATGAAAGAGGTATACAAACCTCTCTATTCATTTCTTTTGGTTAATACAGAAAAATTTTAGTTTTCACGTTCAATGTTTCAATTATCATTGGAGCATTTTCAGCTTCGAGAATTTAAAGAAAACTAGAAAGTTTATGAGAATTAAAAAAGCATAAAAGAATAGTCACTGTCTCAACAATTCGAAGGAGTATCATGAAAATATGATTATATGTGTCAATCAATCAAAAAATAGTATGTTGAATCGAGGCTCTCGATAGTTTTTCGAAGTGGGAGGTGCTAAGTTTTTTTCGCAGACAGTATCTAAAATTTTTCACAGACACTGCTGAAAAGTCAAATGGGGAAGATGGAAGGAGCGAGGTCAAAAGGTTAGGAATTATTTTAAGCAGAGGTGATATAGAATTTTTTCTAATTTGTACAGAATCAAACTCAATGTCTCAGGGAGCGAACATTTTTCGCGGATTGCTAAGAGCTATATTTTCCTTTAAAATTTCCGAAAAAAGTCTTTCATATTCAATGCAGAGGCATTTCTCAATATTGTTGCCGCCGAAGGCGGCTACACTTATGACGGTTAGTCGTTAGTGAAACGGTTGTTAAGCTTAATTTTAAAAATTGCGGTCGACTGTGATCTCGTTTCACAGAAAGACAACTGAGCTTGCCGTAAGAGGAGGCAAGGTTTACTAAAGCTTCGTTTCATATTCGATGCAAGTCCTATTGTGTCTGTGATATTTGTCGAGGTTACAGACTGTGCACGAAATTTGCAAAACCTAGACTGCTTACTTGGTCTAGCATAAGTCACAGATTTTCTGCCAAATTTGTCAAGCCTATACTGTTTGTTAAATCTGATAGAATCATAGACTGCCTGGCAAATACAGCAGAAACTACTGACTGACTGCGAAAAATGTAGATATAGGCTATCAACAAGATTTTCCAGATCTGCATTGTCTGATAGATCTGATAGAACTGCAGACTGTGTGTCGGATGCAGCAGAAACCACAGATAGACTGTAAATTCCGACAGAAGTCAAAGACTATCTGCCAGACTTGCTAGTCATGCATTGTCTGTTAAACATAATGGAACTAAAGACTATTTGGTAGATTCAGCGAAAACCATAGACAGCCTGCCAATTTTGCTAGGCGTGACAGAAGCCATTGACTGTCTGTCTGATTTGCCAGGCCTACGCTGTCTGATATATCTGCTAATCAAGACTGTCTGCTGAATGTGCCAGAAGTCGAAGATTACTTGAAATATTTGACAAACAGTTAACCAGAAAATTTTCGCAGACACATCGGAAAAGTGGGAGGAACTAGCCCACCCTATCCCCTCCCACATGAATAGCCATGTGTTGAATATAAGAATTGCTTGCTGAAGATGGTTATATGCGTGCATAAAAATTCATTTTTCTTAGTTTTACGGCTTTAGTGTTGATCGAAGAAGATAGTGATTTATTGTTCGTAGAATGAATATTCCTTGTGTGTGCAATACTTTTTAAAATTTTAAAGAATAATTTTGATGTAAATGGATTATCCAATAAAGATTTCTGTGGATTTTTGTACATTACGAAGAGTAGCAATATCAACTGATTCTGACGATATAAAAATTGTGCAATTATATTGAGGAATAAAAACAGTCAGTAACTTTGATAACAATTGTTTCTTTTTGTTACAAGAAACATTATAAATCGAAAAGACAAGCAAAATAAAATTCACATAAAGCGAATAAGGTACGAAAAAACTTTCTTGCTTTGAAAAGTTAAGATTTTTGTATTCTTCGTAGAAAAACAAACAATGATTTAGACGGCTATTCTTCACTTTTTTAATGAAAATGCTTGGTGTTTTCGCGCTAGATTATTAGCAGATCTACTAAGAATCCTGTAACGACTCACTGTTTTTCTCCTAAGGAAACCATTAAATCCTGAAGAGAGTGTATAGCTATGGAATTTCCAGATCCTCAGTAGTTTATTGTTCATGAAATCGTAAATAGTGAAAGAAATTTGTAGTCACGAAACGTCAAAGATTTTGACAGCATTTGTAATCAAAATGCTGGAAGAATCTTGTGCAGATTTTCATAGTTTTTAGATCAGAATCATCCCAAAATTTCGAAGATTCATAATTGAAAAGGAAATGTCTGTCTACATCTTGAGGATTTCACTCAGCTTCCTCGAAAATGTTATCAGATCTCATGACAGGGTCTTTGTAGGATTTTCTAAAGAGAACAGCAGAGAAATGAGCAATCTGCTATAAGTGTGAGAATTCTTGTCTATTCTATTTCCTAGTTTCATATAGATGATTTAAATTCATTTAGCTCATGCGTAATTAGAACTTATTGATAAGCAATAGCATCACCAGAAATATGAACGTGTCAACTAAAACGTCCTTATCAATAAACTATTGAAGTTCTAACAAACTTTCCACAATGATAATCATATTCATTCACAGTTTATTCCAATGAGTCGTTGATTGTTGTATTCATACAAATGATTTATTCTCTTGGGCTCGACCATTAGACTCTTGTCATGATAAAAATTCCATTTTTAGTACTCATAAACTATTTCTATTGTATATGGTCACAGTTATATAACACAAAATGATATATTGAACGAAAATAATGTTATTGTGATCATATTCAATGTGATGCATGTTTTGAATAAATAGAAGAGAATATTTATAAATAGAAAAAAAACAACAAAGAAAAGAAACATACACCTGACAATGCCTTTGATAAAAATATATGTTAATATCACACATAAATTTTAAAAAAAGAAAAATTTTTATAACTTCTTAATCTATTATAGCAGTTGTTCAACTTGGTTTACAACATAAGATAAAACGACGAAAATTGAATCGATTATTTTTATCGATTGACTCGTAAGATAATGATGAAAATACACTTCTTTTCTTTTTTGACTTTTTCACTTCTTCTGTAGTTCTATCATGTATTTCATGATTTGTTATTGGTGGTTCATGATAATTAAATGCGAAATTTTCTTTTACAGGTTTATGAAATTCAAGCTAAAAAAAATACAGAAAAAGAACGATTGATAAAATAATAATATTTATTAAGTCATTTACCATTTTTGAATCATGTTGATGAACAAGATCAGATGCAATTTGTTCGAAAAGTTCAAGAACATTTTTACCTGTTTTACAACTTGTTTCAAAGTAAATCATACTATTTCGTAAAGCGAACTACATAAAAAAGAAATAAAGAATAATAAATTTATGTTATATTGTTTTTTTTTACACGTCGGCCAGTTTCTTCATCAACTTTTCGGTTTAGAACTAAATCAATTTTATTTGCTACTAAGTATCGACGTTCCATATCTAATCCAGTCTAAATATTAAATATATTAGATAAATAAATTTAATGATAAAAGTTTTTCTTTTTNTCAGATGCAATTTGTTCGAAAAGTTCAAGAACATTTTTACCTGTTTTACAACTTGTTTCAAAGTAAATCATACTATTTCGTAAAGCGAACTACATAAAAAAAAATAAAGAATAATAAATTTATGTTATATTGTTTTTTTTACACGTCGGCCAGTTTCTTCATCAACTTTTCGGTTTAGAACTAAATCAATTTTATTTGCTACTAAATATCGACGTTCCATATCTAATCCAGTCTAAATATTAAATATATTAGATAAATAAATTTAATGATAAAAGTTTTGTTTTTTTCTTTTTTGATAAACCTGTTCAATTAATTGATTAAATTGTTGAATTAAATCAAATGACTCTTCCTTCGTAACATCATAAACTAGTACAAATGCTTTTGTTGATACATAATAACTTTTACCAATTGTTCGAAAATTCCTTTGACCTGCTGTATCCCTTCATACACAAATAATAAAATCAACACTCAAAGAAAAAAGAAAAAGTCAACTAGTGCATCTTACCATATCTGTAAATTAACCTTGGATTTTTCAACTGAAATTATTTTATTAACAAAATCAATACCTATAAAAATCAATTTGATATTTTTTGTTTGTTTTAGATTCAAATTTATATTAATACCAATAGTAGAACCAATACCAGGACGAAAATCTTTTCCAGCAATAAACCGTTGTAATGAGGTTTTTCCTACAAGTGAATCTCCGAGCAGTAAAACTTTGTATTTGACATCAAATAAATTATCATTGTTTTCATTCGACATTGGTCGTCGTCGAACAAAATTATTACTGTTGTCTAAAGATTGTTGATTACTATAAATAAATAAAAAAACATTTTAATTTCAAATTTAGTCCCTACGGAGAAGAAGTCAACATTATTATAGTTCATACAAAGTCATCTGCCTGCATCTGTTATTATTGTTTTATGTGTCATAGATAGATAAAATAAGAAGAAAAAATAAAACATTGTCACTCTTTTAGTTTTATCATCAGGTGCTCTTTTCTTTTGTAGGTCTTTATTATTATCAATTATTCTATTGAAAAAAATAACCTGATCTGCCGTATCGAACATAACGATAATGTAGCATTGTAATCAATAATAAATCCTGGATTGTCGCTTGCACTACCAGTAATAACCATTATTCACAATGTAACTTTTTCTTTATAGAATTATTGATAATACCACCGAAAACAACAACAATAATAAAATAACTAACATAAAAAATGTTGCCATCACTGACAAGTTAGAGAATAACACAAATGCATTATACAGTGTTCTAATGTTTCGAAAAGCAAAAAAAAACCAACAGAGAAACATTGTCTTATCTTTTTTGTTATGAATATCTATCTATCTATGTTGTATTGTATTTAGTAGAAGTATAATTTTTAGATATTAATATATACAATAAAAACATCAAAGTCTAGACACTCCAAACACATTGTACATACTTCGTTGCATTTAATGGTACCATTCAGATTTTATCTAAACGAATAAATGAGTATAAAACTGCAATATTGTTAGTAAAAACAGATCATATTTCTTGGACGATGTATTGAATGTTCGTAATACAAATTAATTTGAATGAAATGAAAGTTGATTCGAATGTGTAATCTTGCTTGTCATAATTAGTCTTTTCATACAATTACTTGTTATAAAACGTTAATTGAAGGTGAATAGAAAAATGTCATCTTAAACAACAATTCTTCTAATACACGAATGTATATCTTGTTTGATTTTTTACAACTACACTCTTGTTCTTTCTTTCGCTTCCTTATCATTTCTTCAATTGTATGTATGTATGCGTAGGTAGAGAAAAAACAGCATTTATACATGTCAGTTAGTCACTTGAACTGCGTATTACAAATTCTTTTAGAAAATACGAAATTTTCATTTGAGTTTTATGGATTACAGTTGGAAAATGAATCGAATTAAAGTTAGAGTTATATGAAATTTTGATAATTTTTTTTTATTAGTATTGAAAAATTTTAAGGACACTGAAGTTCTTTATTAGATAGTGTAATAACAATAAACATATAAAAATAACTTCATAGGTATTCAAGAAAAAAATTATTGAAATTAAAAAATTTTTACTATGTCATATAATATATTATTCATAGGTTGAATAGAAACAGTTCAAATCAAGATTTCTCGATTCATTGAAAATTTCCATTGTATAAAAATATAAATTTATCAGCCAATTCGAATTATTTTTACTAATCTTTGTTGAATTATATTTCGTTAGTATGTAGAGTATCAACAAAACTTGCATCATTTTTTTCCCTTTATTATTCAATGTTCTACAATAATCGAATAATGCTATTAAAATACAGTATCGTATATTGCTGAATATAGTTTTTGATCTTGTATTTTTCGTCTTCTATTCTATATTAAATAATAACGTTAGAATAATAAAAAAAAATTTCTTTGTTTGTTCTTGAAATTGATGTGTGTTTGAGTCTGAAATAAGATTCAAGCGGAGAAAAGAGAACGAATGAGTTCAAATACTGGACATCTTCTCTTTTACTTGTGTTATCTTATCCATCAACAAATCAATTATTTGCCTTCTCATTGAATGTGTGCACACTATAGTTAAAACAAAGAAAAAAAAAAAGAAGTGCGCAAACATCCAACCATATGTTCATCATAAAGAATCAAATTATATTTGTATTGATACAACATTTGCAGTTGCGAGAAGTATTGAAACAAAATCAGAATCGAATAAAATAAGCATAAACAATGATTTTTTTTTTAACGGAAAGATCATACATAATATAAATGATATGAATAAATGTAATGATCAACTTATTGATTATGGATCAACGTTTTATTTTTTACAAAAGTTATGAATGATAAATATGGACAATGTTATTTCTTATCAACAAAACTTGATGATTTTTTTTTTTCGTTTTGTTAAATGTAAGATTGATGAAATATTTTTCATATTAATAAAAACTAAAATTGTATAATACTTGTGTCATTTTGACCTGACTTATAATAATCATATATTTATAGTTTCGATTTTCGTACACTTCATATTGTTATAGTTTATAAAAAAAAAGAAATATTTTTTTATATGAGATATAGATCATGCTTAATTTTATAACAAAAACAAATATCTATCTTTCACACACTTTTCATAATCCGCAACTGTTAGAATGGTTTTTTTTCTTCTTCATTATGATACTAGTTTCCGTAATCTTTTTATGAATTTTATCTTGTTTTTTTTTTGTATAAAATATGAAATAAAGACTCTAAGTTATTATATGCTTGTCGAATTATTTCTCTCCACATATACGGAACCATACAAAAAAAATAATTTACATTCTGTCAAAGAGTACTATATCAGTACCATGATGATCTACTGTAGAGACTATTTGAAATTTATTTCTATGAAAGTTCTCTTTCAAGTTTGAAAAATCTAAAAAATAAAATAAAAATATTTTTAATTAATTTATTCTTCTAATTTGTACTTTGTCATGTAATAGAGAATAATGACAGAGAATAATTAAAATAATATATTACTAGATTAATTTTCTATAGAGTAATAGAATATATTTAATTGATATCAATCATATCAACTCACCCATTCAAATGAAGAAATTAAACTTTTATTCAATTTTTTATACAGTTATTTCATTCACTAAAAATGCTCAATTGGCAATTATTTATTTGTAATAAATATCAAGCAGCAATTATTGATGAATAATTAAAATTAAAAAAGCTAGATTTCAATTGAAAACTTAGTACTATGCTGAGAGATGAATAAAATGAAAAACGAGAGTTAGTGACGCAAATGTATTATAAATAATTCAAAATTTCTTTTTTTTTCAGAACACATGCATTTTTGTAGAATTAATCGATATATTTATATGGCAGTTTAGTCATTCTAAGAAAACTTACTAAGCTCACATTGAATCTATAAAAATTATTGTTTACAACAGCATCAGGCGCTAACGAAGTAATTGAGAAATTCTACTAAAAAACAGAGGCTTAGAAGAAAAATCACAGCAGATGTTGTTCAAATCAAGTAAATCTAATTATTCTCTATCAATATGATGAATAATAACATGATTAAAACGTTGTTGAGTCATTGCGCGGCGTAAATATATTTTGATTCAATTCATAACAGTGAACGATCGTTTAACGATGGCAGTTGTCGCGGAAGTTGTCGAATATAACGATAACAATTTATTTTAGTCAGAAAATATTGTTTTGCTAGTTTATTACGTATTTAAAAAAAAAAGTGAACTGATCTCGTAACAATGTGTCGTCTGTTAGACAAAAATGAAAATTAATCAATAATAAAACGATGTTTACATTTAATAGAGCCTATCTAAGCCTAGTAGCTCTGCTGTCCATGAAAATTATTGATAGAAATTGATAGAGACTGAATTATTTTAGAATTGTTGTTGTGTTTTTATTACTTTGTAATTGATTTGAGTCATTCAGTGGAAAAAGAACTTTCTTCAATGTTAAAGAACACTCGAATGAACAGCATAAGAACAATTTGTTTTCTTTGTTATTACTAATCAAATGTAATTTTAGTTTAAATCATTTGTTATTCATTCTAAATATTTTTGTATTATTCATTATATGATCGATTATTTTGATGAAAATCATTTCAATTGACTCAAAATTTCATCATGTTTTTAATCTTTATCAATCTATTCTTATTTTAAATTATGTCTGATAATATTTTTTTTTTTTTATCAAATCGTTCTTTGATTAAGTAATGTCTATTTAATTATTGATCAATTAACTCATATTTATTTACTAACAAAATCTTCTTCTATTTAGATCAACATGAATAATAATAAATATCTATTAAATATTATAAGATTTGAACTATTTTGTATTTAAAACAACTTATTTTATTAATATAAGAGCAATATTTATTCAATGAGCTGCACAAAAAATAAATGATATATATATATCGAAAGATTAAAACCTATTCGACCGTTAAAATTCTAAATTGTTCTTTCAGAAAATAGAATGGAAAATAAATGTTGATGTATCTCTAGGATAGAAATTTGTACTCATTCCCACAGACAGTATTTCAATGACGGCTCGTTAAAATATGTTAACTACTTCCTGATTGGATTTCTGGAGGATTAACCAAAAGTAGGATGAAGAAATATGTCTCAAAATAGACAGAATTGAACAACCTCCCAATGATCAGCAACATCGTGTTTCACATTTTAATCTCGCACGAATTGCGCTAACAACTTTTTTTTTATGTATATGAATATTCGATGGTAAAAGTAATTAAGGATTGTCGACAGTACATATCAATATGTGTTGCTTGATTTTATTGGAATATTGATAGAAAATATTGACAATGTTAATAATTATTTTGTGTGATTCTAATTGTTTTCAGAAAGAATTAAATTCATTATAAAAAAAAGAAATGTTTTATAATGAAAATTATTCATCGACTCAAATAATGATTCGTCTTAATCGTTAATAAACGATTTAATGTTTAGTTAACTATTGTTTTCTTTTTTGTTTTCCTAATGATATATTTCCGGTAATCTCTTTTTGTTTTTAGAATTGTTAATTCTTACAAATAAATTCCTTGCTGAGATAATAGTTGCACAAGATTTACATTAATTATGAATTCATAAATATGGAAATAATCATTTTGTTTATGGAAAATTTCTATATGTTGAAGTTTAGATTTTGCAATAAAAACTAAATAAGAAGAATTTCTCTTCTTTTATCAACACTGTTTACCAATGTCAGACACTGACTATTTGTTGATTATCATCATAATCATTGAATAAATTGTAAATCGGTCGTTCAGACGACATGAAAAATCAATTTATACATCTGTCAAGTAGAAAAAAATAGATATATATATTTATTCTACTCTCTCTCTCTCTTCGTTTTCTTTTTTCTATTCTGTTATTTCGAAAATTTCCCTAATCAAATTAGTCTATCCGACATATACGATGAGCTTTACGCGACGGCACCAAATCAATTTGCTATTTTTTCATCAGCACAAGTTCGATAGAGAGTCTCTTTGCTGATATTTTTTTCTGATTTCTCAAGTTAGACATGCACGAGAAAAAGAACAGAAAAATAAGTACAGGTGTTCTCGATCGATTAAACAAACAATTGCAGTAAACGAGAAAGAGAGAGAGAGAGAGAGACAGAAAAGAAAAGAAGTAATGAGAATAAAAACTGCTGTATTGATCCTGTGTCTTTTTCTTTAAAAGAACAAATATATAACAGGTATGATTTTCTTTGAATATACAAGATTCTTAAGATTTATTTGTCTAACATTAAAAACAAAGAAAGTAAGAAATGACTACCTATTTGCTAGGTTGATTGAACTAGTTTACTAGTCGTGTTTTTCTTTCTTTTTTTTTTCTCTTTTGTTTCTCTTATTCTTATTTAATAATTATATTGAAAATACACGCGAGAGCAAAAACTCAACAAGGAGAGAGAGAGTAGAGAAAACGACAAGCG